TTTTTTTCTTCCCAAGAGCTGCTCAAGGGGAATCTTTGGAATTGTTGGCTTTCTCTCAACAAAATATTGTAAAGTCTTCACCCTATTATGTTCAGTACGTTGAGATGATTAATGTGGAGAGGTGGTGCTTTGTCAATAAAACCAAACTCAACTCAACTCAACTGATTGAAATATTAGTCCAGATGTGTTAATCCTGCAGAGTTTCTGTATTTGATTGCACAATTTGCATTGCTTTTCTGTGTTTGTGTTTTGTCTTCTCTTTCGCCACAGTATGTACTAAAATGTTGTTCATGCCACTAAAAAGCTGATTAGATAATGACACTGAAGACTTGAGAAAAATGCCAAGAAAAGCAATGTGGGAAAATAGATGAGTTAAAAGAAAGGATTTAATAGCTGAGGGGGGAAAAAAGGCAGACGGAAGGCAAAACAGAAGAAAGCCCGACTGCTAATAAGCACAGTAAGGGGTGAAAAGGAGGCCAAAAACTTGTGTACAGCAGTAGTGGGAAGATGAAAGTAAAGAAAGAAGTCTCACTATTTTCCTTTTGACTGTATGTGGGGATAAATACTGCATGTTTAGTGCATTTGTGACAGTGTGAAATGAGAAAAAAAAACCTTCTCACACCCAGAGCAGAGCATATTCGGTATCTTTAACAGCACATGTAGTTTCACGTTTAATCAAGGCAGCTATCTTTGCTCTGGTGAGAAACCCAATTTAACAGTAAAGGCATGTATCTAGCACACAGCAACACAAGCCAGCCTGGTTATAAATACGACTGCACCAGAGGACGGCTCGCATTTTCTCTGTCGCGCCCACTGATGAGGGCAAAACTGTGAGGCAACGGGGACCTTTGTCCTTTAAACTCACCATCACTCTTGTCACAAATGAGCCCTCTGGAAATACGGCCACTAATTTTAAGTCTCAATCTGCCGAAGAAGCGCGGGGTTATATTGAGTAAATGTGCGAGAGAGTGTGTGTGTGGTCAAAGAGAAAGAGGCAGACAGATGGGTCACACAGTTTTCTCTCTGTGGGTCTGGAGCTGGAACAGCTAATTACATCTTAATTAAATATGACCTGTCTGTCCCCGCGCTGCCTCGCCCACGGACGACATGTGTGTTTACAATGAAGAGAGACAAATCAAGAGGTGGAGATTGAGCGTAAAAATTGTGTGAAGTGAAGAGCCGATGTATCCATGAGTCGAGGGTATTATTGTGTGCAAATGAAAAAAACATTAGACGGAATTAATGTCACTGCTCCGTGAGCTTAGCGGCACTACGTTGTGAGATTATTTCAGGACATGACTGTACGTCACTTTCAATGTTAAACGTTTGTCTCGGTCTTCTCAATTAACCTGACTGCTTCGTTATGAATCTCCTGGGTCTGCTTGTACCTCCAGAGGTACTTAGAGGGAGTTTGCATAACGATTGTGGAGCAATTCTACTAATTCGAGGGCATCTAAAATACCATTTGAATAAAAAATAGATTGAATGGCTGTAACACCCAGAGGCCATGTGTTCGGAGAAAGTCCTGATCGTTTTTTAAAGGGCCCGGTGTTCATTTTGAAACAAATCTGGGAAAACTCTTGTTGTGTGGAAGCACTAAAACTAGTGTAATTCCTACTACACCAAGTATTAGTCTTAGTTATTTTACTTTTTTCTACCAGACTTTATATTTGCACATTTCTTGTTGCACTTTCAAAAATGTCTGATTGTGTGACGGCACAAACACAATTGATTTAAAAAAAAAATAAAAATTGCCCACTATACAATGACAATAATCGAATTCTATTTTATTCTGTTCTATGTGGCAAAAAAGTTTGCAAGTGCTACAAAGTCCATCTGAAGCGGATGGAGGCATACGTCAGCAACAAGACTTTCACTTAAGAGACCAGAGTTTGCATCTGAGCGCCACTTTGTAGCTTCATACTACTGGTTTCTATTAAAACATGAGTTGTACCCAGTTTGCTTCTTCACTTTCACTACATTTCCCTCAACCTTTACAGAATCAAATAACCTAAACGTAGAATTCATCCCACACCCACCCACCCAACCGGTCGAGGCAGATGGCCGTCCTCCCTGAGCCTGGTTCTGTCTGAGGTTTTTTTTTTCACCCCCGTGGGGGGTTTTCGGTTCCTTCCCACTGCTGCAGACTGCTTGCGGACTGCTGAAGCTTACAAGGAATCCAAATGTTTTGGATTGTTGGGTGTTTCTGCCTTTGTTAAGCACTATGAGATGACTTGTTGTTGTAAATATGCGCTTTACAAATAAAGTTGAAGTGAATTGAATAGAATAAAGTCTGAGTTATCAGTATCAGTTAGACTAAATACTAATACAAACATACAGAAAAGAGCCTCTGGTTTATACATTTAGTTATTAAAAGTAATAATTTTCACCATTGAAACAACTAAAAGCAACAGAAGAGATGAAATAGTTGTGAAAAGTCAAAAGGTGAATTGTTGAAAACCTAGTTAGGTAAAAGTGAACAGCTACACTTTTGTTAAAGTTAATAACTAAAACAGTGCAGCTAAAGCTAACGGAGAACTAAAGTCAATACAAACAGTTGAGGGGTGCAGTGCCAAAGCAGTTGAGTGTCATGATGTTTTTGATAAGTGTTTGTGGTCTACTAGTTCATGGCAAAGTGGTCCAACCAACAGCCCATTAGTAATGTTACAATGCCACTTTGAAGTTTGGCCCATCATGGTTTTGGCATGAAAATTTAGTGGCAAACTGGGCCAAGCCACAGGAATCGCTGACCACTATGCTGCGTGTGCAGGTAGTTGCATGTGCTTGCGATTCAAGATGGTAGACCACTCCACCTCAAGCCAACACCAAGCATCTATTTCTACCCTATGTTCCTTAAAAGTATCTCTAGTTCCTTATGATGTAAACTCTTTAGTTTGGTTCAAGACAAACCTTGAATCAGTTGAAAATGTGGTATGGCAAAAGTAAAGGCAAAATAAAAATTAAAATAAGTCGTCACAAAGTAGCTGCTTCTATCTCTGGACAGTGTTGAAACATCTTTGGATGCATATAATGACTCCTCCAACAACCTTTTATTTATTTGATTTTTTTAGCAACACAAACTTTTGACCCCATTTTTCTCTAGAACTAGTAAATGTGGTTTGGCCCACTTTGGCACTAACCCCATCAGTTGAAATAAAAGTAGAAGAAAGTTGAATAAGTCAGCGAAATTGGTAGATAAACAGTTGAAATGGCCCACAAAACTTTGCCAATCAATTCATATCAGCTCTGTCTGCTTTGCACAGAAACTCACAAACAAACCCACATGTACTTACACACACACACAGACACACACACACACACATAGACACACCAGACTGACCGTTGTTGGAGCGCAGCGCCCTGGCCGAGATGCCGTTGGTCCCTATGGGATGATGAACCCCGGTTCCATCCACCGCTCCCGCCTCCCCCGGCTGCTTCAAAAGCTCCGTCAGAGTCCTGGTGGAAGGAAGGAAGGAGGGAAAAAAAAAAACATTTACACACTTCAATCATCCTGAAAATAGTCTGAAAGGTAGATAAACAAATCATCTGTCCGTGTCCACACAAAGGAAAAAAGCAAAGATGGGAGAGAAAGTTCTGAAATAAAACAGTACGGAGCAGAGAGTGTTTAAAATGATGTGATGTGTTGGGACAGAGTTAGAAAGATGCTCAAAAATAGAAAAAAATGAACATGTTGATGTGGATATAATGTGAACGTCCAGTATTTAAAGAAAAAAAAAGCACCCAGACAGCCTTCATTTCACAAGCTTCACCTGAGGAAACGTTTGAAATAAGCATCAATAAAACAGAAAATGATGAGAAATAAATTCGACAAAGTGGAATGGAGGATGAAAGGATAAGTCTCTGGTTGTTTGCCAGCTGGGAGCATCAATCATTTATTCAAAAAAAAAGAAAAAGAAAAAAAGTGAAACAACTTCCCCTCTTGCCATCTTTCATTGTTTGATGCCTTTGAACAAATTCTGATGCCTTGTCGAAACTGGAGCAAAGGCAGGAAAAGGCCTGCAGATCTAACTCCTCAGGAGCTCGCACACAACCTGCAGCTACAAACAAGGACTCGGACTGTTTATTGGATGAGACAGAAGAAAGCTGGTGGATTTTATCCTACTGGAGTGTTTTAAGTTGTTGTAGACGGGTGGATTGTGATCTAGATGCACTGGATTCATCAGGATGCTACTTTCTTTAGGGTAGAGCTGCTCAGCTAGTTTGAAAAGAGAAATAAATATTGAGATTTTTTTTTTTTTTTAAATGTAAACCCTTATTATTTCCTTTAAACTGTCTTTATTTTTGTTCAATAACATTCCTTCCTCTTTAAAACTGCACTGATTTAATACACCGTGTTGTGCTTATTTCTGTCGCTTGCATTCTGATGATTTTATGACTTGCTTGTTTATTTTGTCGCTTCGTGAATCACATCGTATCCTGGATTTCAAAAAGTGCTCTGTAATTAAAGAATATATCGTGTTCAGAAGGTAAGAAAACCAATGAAATGAAGCAAGGCCACTTTCTTAAGTTTTCAAGCAAATCTACTTCCTAGTTCTGCAGAAAAAAAACTGCTAAAGTATTGTCAGTATCATTTGCAATATTGCTTTTATTATTAGTTTGTGCAATATCAGGTCCCATCCATGTCATGTGCAGCATTTTGATTCATGCATTGTGCTTCTTTGTAAGGTGTAATACTTCATGTTTTGACTGTTTAGGTCAGGGGTCTCGAACTCCGGTCCTCGAGGGCCACAATCCTGCAAGTTTTAGATGTTTCCTTCTTCCAACACACCTGATTCAAATGATCAG